GGGATGAGTAGGTGAGCCACCCATATATCCCATATGAATCAATCGGACCACATCTGGCTGGCAAGAGCAGAACGTGATTAACATTTTGGTACGACCTGGGTTATGTTATTTGGTCATTCATTAGTTGTGGTACATAAGGATCAGGACTAATTGATACATACTGAATATGTCCACAACATCCACAGGCCGAGTTCTCTTCTTGGCAGTAGAGCAGCCGCATTCTGGTTTCCAGTCAATGTTCCAGGACGCTGTTCCCCACTGCAAAGTCATTTTGCTGGCTTCCATGAAAGCTACAAACATCGGAGTGAGGTTTTGACGCCATTGCAACTCCTCCCGTACTCGCCTTTGTTGGTAGGATACACTAGTTATATGCCGAACCACCTCGTCGTTTTCTTCGGAAGCGTCGGACTCATTTTCACTGGGACTTGGCGGCGGGTCGTCTTCATCAGGAAACATGTTGTAATCAAGATTAAAATGATTAGGTGAGGCAGGACCGGTGTTTTCATCTTCAACTTCAAGGTTATTTGTTTCATTTGATGTACTGGCTTCGTTTGTATTCAACGGAGGATTCAAAATGACTTTCCTGAGCTTCGTACATCGTTTATCTGCCCATTCATCTTCAAGTCGATTGATCTCGTCGAGCTCGATCTCAGCATTGCCTTTTGTCTTTCGTGAACGCTTGTTGATGGCCTGACTTAGCGGGCACGGGATCGAGTTTCCGTGATTGCCCATTGAAATATTGAAGTATGAAGTTAAGACTATATGCGATGGAGGTGAGGGGGATGTGCCATGCCAAATGTGGTCATTGACCTTGATATAAGTTTTAAGCTAACAAATATTTCCGTAATTGACCAATTGGGACAAGCCATCAAACTAATTGGGGTGGTACTGTCCTATACACCCCTTTTTGAAGGTATTTGGGACATTTCATCTTGCCTTTCTGTCTGGATGAACAAGGGGCTGTCAAATATGTCTCATGTGTCAAGATGAGGTCTTGGTTACATAAACCTTTTTGATCATTCTCCGGAAAGAGATAAGTCTCTCACTGGTTGATCTCATTCATCTTCAGCAAAATGGTCATGATGTAAATATGATCTTTGGCCATATTCATATTGTGATACCCAGAATTCTTTTAGGAATGCCTGGCCACAATATCAAGACCTCAAGGCCATGGTTGCAATGGCCACATCAGACAGTGGAATTGAGTGATAAGCAATGTGAATTTACCACAACAACAAGACAAACCAAAGCAATAACGGGAACACTGGAGGTAGTATTGATAATGGTGATCAA